GTCAATCAATTGATGTACAGGTCCCTGAGCCTACTGGGCTCTATCATATCTACATTTGAAACTGTGTCTGGAGTCAGCCTCCACCACGTCACTGCCTAATGCATTCCATTTATTAACTAATCTGAAACAGAAAAAAATATTTCTAATGTCTCTGTGGCTCATTTAGGTACTCATACATTTTGCATAGTCAGCAAACATTGAGAGGAATGAGTCTACACTCTCTGGAAGATCGTTTACATGTATCAGAAACTGGATGAATCTAAATACAGAGCCCTGTGGGACTCCGCTGGTGACATCTTGCCACGCTGATGTCTCCTCACAGTTACTCGCTGTTTCCTGTTGCTTAGATACTCCCTTATCCACGGGAGTACCTTACCTTTTACTTCTCCCTGTTACACCAACTTTTATAACAGCCTTTTATAGGGTATTGTGTCAAAGGCTTTCTGAGAGTCTAAGAAAATGCATTCTGCCCATCTCTTTCTTGCTTAATTTTTGTCACCTTTTCATAGAATTATATTTAACCTGTGAGGCACGATTAACCATCCCTGAACCCATGCTAGTGTCCCCATACACACGAACCCATGTGTGTGTGTGCGTGTACTCACCTAATTGTGCTTGCGGGGGTTGAGCTTTGTCTCTTTGGTCCCGCCTCTCAACTGTCAATCAACTGGTGTACGGATTCCTGAGCCTACTGGGTTCTATCATATCTACATTTGAAACTGTGTATGGAGTCAGCCTCCACCACATCATTTCCTAATGCATTCCATTTATTAACTACTCTGACACTGAAAAAAAATCTTTCTAACGTCTCTGTGGCTCATCTGGGTACTAAGTTCCCACCTGTGTCCCCTTGTTCGTGCGTGTGTGTGTGTGTTTTCTTCCTAGGATGAAGGGTAGGATAGGACGAGGTAAGGTAACATAGACGGCAGGGGGAGTCAAGGAGGCAGGATAAAAGGTAGCAGGGGGAATGGAAAAGGGGAGATTGAGGAAGAGGGGAGTAGAGACAGAGGGGGGAAAGAGGGGAGTGGAGACAGAGGGGAAGGACGTACACAGACATTTTTATCTGAATTGTTCATGCTATTGCTGAAATGTCATGACTCCTTGACCACAGTAATGCCAGCGGGGGTTAGTCGAGGGGTTGGGGTGTTGAGAGGAAGGGAGGGAGGGTTGAGGGTGCTAGCTAGAAAAAGAAGCGGAAAGGAACAGAAATGGGAGGGAATGGAAGGGAAGAAGGAGGAGGGGAGGGGTATAGAAGAGATTCACGACGTGGTAGATCTATCGTCTGTACATCTACTTCAGTGTCTTTATATACGCCATATATTATTATTTAAATCCTGTCTTCCTATTTTGGACGCTGGGTCTGGTAATAGGTATTCAGACTAGAAGGAGTCCCTCCCACTCCCTCCTTTCCTAACCCCCCCCCTCCTCTCTCTATCCCCACCATCTCCCTCACTCCCTCTAGTTCACTGCTCTAGATGGACCACTTGAAAAGACTCATTTACAGATATAAATGTTATTTATGTCTGTAAATATTCATAAATGATATTTACATTTACAATATTTATATATGCTATTTACACCAATGAACACGTGTTCAGAATTGTTATGATTTGTGGAATTTTATGTATAAAGTCTCTGTCTGTGTGTTTCTCTGTCTGTCTGTCTGTCTGTCTGTCTGTCTGCTATGAAGGACATCCAGACCTCTTGGAAAGACTTAAAGAAAACAGAAATACAATATTTCTGTTTTCTGTGTATCAGAAATACAAGGAAAATGGGAAGTGTAAACTTTCTAACGAATAACTTAAAAGAAAAGTTATTCTTAGAGGCAACAACTTATTTCCCAACACTAACTTAACCCTCATCATTCTTACGACTTAGTATGCTGAGTCAAGTTCGAAGATCTTACGATGTGTAAAGCTTCGAATTCGAGGTTCGTACGATATGGAAAGCTTGAAGCTCTTACGATTAGTCAAGAATCAAGTTTGAAGGGTTCGAAACCCAGCCTCGAACGCCATGCCTTTTATTTTACAGGCAGGAAGTGTCAGTATTAACGCATAGATTTTATTTATAATTTTACTAAAGCTCCGGAAATATTAAGTCCGTACTCTCTCTCTCTCTCTCTGTCTCTGTCTCTGTCTCTGTCTCTGTCTCTCTCTCTCTCTCTCTCTCTCTCTCTCTCTCTCTCTCTCTCTCTCTCTCTCTCTCTCTCTCTCTCTCTCTCTCTCTCTCTCTCTCTCTCTCTCTCTCTCTCTCTTATGCCTTGTAAATGTAAATACAGTTGGACTTTATGCCTCGTGTAAGTACATACAACCGGACTTTATGCAAATACAACAAAAAGTATTCCTTGCGTATATAAAAAAAGAGTATTTGCTTGCTAATGAGATGATAGATGATTGATTGCTACTGACAGGTGATTGATTGTTACTGACGGTTGATAGTTCGCTACTGAGGGTTGATTGATTGTTACTGACAACTGACTGATTGCTACTGATATATAATTGCTTGTTATTTCAGTTGTTTGATTGCTACTGACAGATCATGAATTGTTTCTGCCAGATGAATGATTGTTACTGAAAGATGAATGATTGCTACTGACAGATGAAATTATTACAAAGAACCAGTCGGGAGGCCTGGTCGAGGACCGGGCCGCGGGGACGTAAGAGCCCCGAAATCATCGCCTGGTTGCAAAGTAGCAGATGAATGATTAAAATTGAGAAATGGATGAATGATTGTTACTGACAGATTGATTGATTGTTACTGACATGAATGATTGCTACTGACAGGTTTGATTTGATTGACAGATTGTTACTTAGGAATTTGACTAAAATAAGCTTTTTTTAACTAATTATGTGTACCATGTCTATTTCAGTAGTTATGATATTAAATCAATTTTAAATAGGCCTACTAAGCCTATATTTGAAGTTGCGTTAATTGTTCAATTTTGGATGCAATGAACAAGCAACGAGAAGAGAGGTAACTATCTAAGTTGCACACAATGAAGTACTGTACAAGTACTGTACACTAATTGACTGAAGTACATTTTTAAAGACTTCCAAAAATGTACATCTTTTAATAGGGATTAACACACAGTACCTAGGATCATCTTTAAAGAAATATTCTTGAGGGAAAGGATCGAGTACTTTTGTACTATACTATGTAATGAACATAGTGAATAGTGTACACTGTGAATTGAACAACATTGTATGGGAGGTTATAGTACATTTTAAAACATAGATATTGGGAAGTGTACAGTATATTTTAAATCAGAGTTCATTAGGCAGTCTGCAGTACAATTTAGAGTACATTTGTTGTACACACTGGAATACATTACGTCAGAAAGGAAACCTAAATATTGCATTGGGCATTACAGTACATTCCAAGCGATTCATTACATATTAAATAGTAAATAGCAACCAGAGAAGCACATTTTTTTAGAGCTCTGTGTACTCTGATACGCGACTGGAGTACATTTTTAGAGCTACGTGTACTCGGATACATGATTGGAGTACATTAACCAGCACGAGTACTTTGATACATGATTGGAGTACATTAACCAGAACGTGTACTTTGATACATGATTGGAGTACATTTCTAGAGCTACATGTACTCCAATAGATAGATGAAGTATATCCTAGAGCTCTACGGACTCCGATAGACAGTGAGTACATTTCCCCATCTACCTAGAGTTCATCTAGTTAACCTAACATAACCTAACCTAATCTAACCTAACCTAACCTAACCTAACCTAACCTAACCTAATCTAACCCTACTTACGAACGGTGTATTTACACAAACCTACGGAGAGTCTACTTTACGAGCAATGTAACACACACGAATTTACGAATACGGTTCTACACAGGAATTTAGGAAGTGTTCTACGTCCATGCGCCAGCCAAGTGTACTTATCTACTTGACTGATTTTCGTGTCCAATAATCTCACATATTTTTTATATACAATTATTATACATATGAAATAATTTTTTGGGGGGTGCCTGGGTCCTTGTACCACTGGGTTTAGTCTTGGTGTCTGGTACCACTGGATTTAGTCCTGGTTCCTTGTACGACTGAGGTTAGTCCTAGTTTCTTGTACCACTGAGTTTAGGCCTGTGCCGACGATTACATTAGTAGCACAATTACATTAGCGTGTTGCAAGCAAAGAGACATCAAACAGGTAGATGGTAGAGACGTAGACAGGCGGACGGTAGGGTAGACAAGTAGACGATGGGGGGTGGGGGTGTAGATAGGCAGGACAGAGGGGGTTTCGAAGGCGTTAAAATCGCCACCTCCGCCATTTTCCAGGCACGTGGTGGGGCGGTTAGTTTCTTGGTCCGTCCGGACTTTCAGAAGTCTCGGTCCACTGTCACTTTCGCGCGCGCTCTGGTGTCCCCTTTTCTCTCTGCCTTTTCTCAGGTGAAAAGGGGTTACACTGTGTGTGTGTGAGGGGAGGGGGGTTACAGATGGTGAAAGGGTCGTGGGGATTGAAAATAGGGTGTTTGGATTGTCTTTTTTTCAGTTTAGCATAATTTTGTTCGTCTATTTCTGGATTGTTTTGATTTTTTTTGTCCTCCTTGGATTGGAGGTTGATACACTGGTGTGTTTGGCGTGGAGGGTTGGTGTGGAGGGTTGGTGTGGAGGGTTGGTGTGGAGGGTTGGTGTGGAGGGTTGGTGTGGAGGGTTGGTGTGGAGGGTTGGTGTGGAGGGTTGGTGTGGAGGGTTGGCGTGGAGGGTTGGTGTGGAGGGTTGGTGTGGAGGGTTGGTGTGGAGGGTTGGCGTGGAGGGTTGGTGTGGAGGGTTGGTGTGGAGGGTTGGTGTGGAGGGTTGGTGTGGAGGGTTGGTGTGGAGGGTTGGCGTGGAGGGTTGGTGTGGAGGGTTGGTGTGGAGGGTTGGTGTGGAGGGTTGGTGTGGAGGGTTGGTGTGGAGGGTTGGTGTGGAGGGTTGGCGTGTGGAAGAGAGGGGAAGGGAGAGGAAGGGAGAGGGGTGGGTGGAGGGAGAGGACTCACCATAGACACACATACACACACACCCTGGCGCGACCCCAACCCGATGTGCACTGAGAGCGTGGTTGACTCCCAGCCTGGCTCTCTCTCACTCTCCCTCTCCCTCCAATCCCTCCCTCCCTCCCACAGCCCCCTCCCGACTCCCTCCTTCCTCAGCTGCTCCGCCCTCCATCTCTGCTCCGCCCAGTCCTGCCTTCCCACACACTCTCTACGCAACCGACGTCTCCGAAACCCCACCTCCACCCCCCACCCCACCCTATACCCACTTACACACGCCCACACCCCCCTTCTCTCTTGCTCCGCCCACTCACCACCTACTCCACTGCTCCACCCACTCTTCCCCCCCTCCACCAATGCTAACCTCACCTATGATCACCTTCACTATTCCGCCCTCCCCCCCCCTTCCCCCTCCTCAACCCCTTCCCCCCTCCTACACTATTCCACCCACTGCTACACCTATCATGATCCACATTATACCCAACATATATTCCAAATCATACCCACAGGTATAATCATTCTCCACACTAGGTATATTCACAGGTATAATCATGTCCACACTAGGTATATTCACATCAACAATATATATTTTCAATGATTCATCAACAAGACTATACTTAGACTAATGTAGTGAGGAAGGATAAAACAGACACTAATCCTATTTCTCAAAAACTAATTATATTTTCGAACACTTATTTCTAATCATAAATCGACCATTGTCTCCACCAATTATTGCGTTGGTCTCCACCAACGCAATCACTAATTGCTATTCCATCCACTAGCACCACTAACGCACCCACCATCCAATTCAGTGAGATCACACGCAAACGCGCGTTGGTGCTCAGAGATCCACACTTACACACCACACTTACACAGAGAGTGAGAGAGAGAGGGTGTGAGAGAGAGAGAGTGAGAGAGATACGAGACAAGGCCTCGCAACAGCAAAGCAGCAGAGAACTGCCACAGTACAGAGACGCAAACTTCAGCATACACAATGAGAACTAACAGGAATTAAGTCTCCCAAGTGCATTCTGGACTAACAGACAACCGCGATTCAGAGATCCTCCTTCACAACCTCCCGTAGGCTCCGATCCTCCCGGTGTACCCAATCCAGTAACCCACAATCATTTCCCATCTACCAAATCCCCCCATTCCCATCTCTCATTACCTCATCCCTTTCCCAGCACCGAGCTACCAATCTGTACCTCTTGCAGTGCTTCGCTCTCATCCACATCCATAATCTCATCCACATTTCATTTCTACTCTCTAAATTACCTAATCATTCATCCGAACCTAATCAGTACCCAATTCTAAACCAGGAGTTAACCAATCCAAAAGGTTGGAACAGCAATGTAGAGTTAAGAAATTCCGTTCATTAACTAGGATTCGTTGCCTTATGTTGGAGCCTTAAGTTGCAAATGAACTTAAAGGACAGGAAACTCAATCGTTGCTGTAACAGTAATTGCAGACTCAACTAATTAAGAATGATTAACAGTGATTATGCCTCAAAGTCACTGAAATACCTAAACTCTTATGACCGCAAAATCTATTAAAAAATTGCAACTACCTTTCTCAACATTGCAAAAGAATAAATATAGCAAAATAATTGATTGCTATGATTTGCAACCCAATTTTCCAGTGGGGGAGAAGAATTTGCTGTCAAGTTACAATATTCCCAAATTTTAGGCCTTTGGAGTGTTGCAAGAGGCCTATGAATGTCAGCAACCGGTGCAGAGTTACTGGAGTGTGATCCTGGGATCATGCAAGCATATATCCAATAGTGTGTAGTTATCTTAAGAAGACTTGATGTCACATCAAGTCACAATCCTTTGATATCTTGCAAATGCTTGCTAATTAAGACCTGCCTACTTTTGGCATCGAAAAGAATCATCCGTTTGGCATCAAGCAAACCAGCTTAAATCAGGATTTAAGCTGGAATGTCGTCACAGCTTCACTTGAAATGGCTAAGAACGCAGCTTTCAGACCTCCGCTGAAGGCTTAAAGGAATAGTTATTCCACACAATAGGTAGTTACTATTCGATGATTAGTCGACGTTAGAACGAGGGCCTAGTGGTAGGTCCATTAGTGGTAGGTGGTGACCCATTTGTGCTAGATGATCTTCACTATTGCTAGCTGATCACTAGTGATCATCACCTACCAGACAGCTTCTCACTGACTGTGATCATTAATGACTATACCTACAAGACAAAAGCAGTGAATTCCAGTGAAAAAGACCACAATGAAAATCTACATTATACAGGGCTATTGACGTCAGGTGAACCAGTGTGAAGTCTAGCCTGTGATTCAGCCTCTCTTCATCCTCTCTCCCTTCACCCATTCCCTCCCTATTTTCCCCCCATTTACCCATTCCCTCGCCACTTTGTGTCACCGCCCCCCCCCTTCCCACGAGTCAGGACAGGAGCTACTATCATCTAGGTCTTAATTTGCCATTCCCATTCGATATCCAGAGATAATTACCGTCCACCAGATGTCACCGCGTGACCATAAACCATCCAACTCTCTCTCTCTCTCTCTCTCTCTCTCTCTCTCTCTCTCTCTCTCTCTCTCTCTCTCTCTCTCTCTCTCTCTCTCTCTCTCTCTCTCTCTCTCATATTAGTATACAAATATGTATAACCATCTCACAGAATTGTTTACCATACAGGAGCCTGTGATTAGTAGCCAGCAATTGCAAGCTTTGGGTGTGATTATGAGGATATCCTCATGAACACGAGGGGTGGATAAAGTCATTATGAAGGTCAAGGTACCTCATACCTGAAGGGTTTAATGAATGGGGCTGTTAATAATGCAGTGTGAGAGATCATCAGAGTTCTTGCTCATAATGGTTACACGTGAATTGCTCAGGATTGGGAGATTCGTCACCAGTAGCCACCTGCCACAGGTAACAGTAGCCCAACCTGCCACAAGTAACAGTAGCCCTAGCTGCCACAGGTAACAGTAGCCCAACCTGCCACAGGTAACAGTAGCCCAACCTGCCACAGGTAACAGTAGCGACCTGCCACAGGTAACAGTAGCCACCTGCCACAGGTAACAGTAGCCCAACCTGCCACAGGTAACAGTAGCCCAACCTGCCACAGGTAACAGTAGCCCAACCTGCCACAGGTAACAGTAGCCCAACCTGCCACAGGTAACAGTAGCCACCTGCGACAGGTAACAGTAGCCCAACCTGCCACAGGTAACAGTAACCCAACCTGCCACAGGTAACAGTAGCCACCTGCCACAGGTAACAGTAGCCCAACCTGCCACAGGTAACAGTAGCCCAACCTGCCACAGGTAACAGTAGCCACCTGCCACAGGTAACAGTAGCCACCTGCGACAGGTAACAGTAGCCCAACCTGCTACAGGTAACAGTAACCCAACCTGCCACAGGTAACAGTAGCCACCTGCCACAGGTAACAGTAGCCACCTGCCACAGGTAACAGTAGCCCAACCTGCCACAGGTAACAGTAGCCCAACCTGCCACAGGTAACAGTAGCCACCAGCCACAGGTAACAGTAGCCCAACCTGCCACAGGTAACAGTAGCCCAACCTGCCACAGGTAACAGTAACCCAACCTGCCACAGGTAACAGTAGCCACCTGCCACAGGTAACAGTAGCCACCTGCCACAGGTAACAGTAGCCACCTGCCACAGGTAACAGTAGCCCAACCTGCCACAGGTAACAGTAGCCACCTGCCACAGGTAACAGTAGCCACCTGCCACAGGTAACAGTAGCCACCTGCCACAGGTAACAGTAGCCCAACCTGCCACAGGTAACAGTAGCCCAACCTGCCACAGGTAACAGTAGCCACCTGCCACAGGTAACAGTAGCCACCTGCCACAGGTAACAGTAGCCACCTGCCACAGGTAACAGTAGCCACCTGCCACAGGTAACAGTAGCCACCTGCCACAGGTAACAGTAGCCACCTGCCACAGGTAACAGTAGCCACCTGCCACAGGTAACAGTAGCCACCTGCCACAGGTAACAGTAGCCACCTGCCACAGGTAACAGTAGCCAACCTGCCACAGGTAACAGTAGCCACCTGCCACAGGTAACAGTAGCCACCTGCCACACAGGTAACAGTAGCCACCTGCCACAGGTAACAGTAGCCACCTGCCACAGGTAACAGTAGCCACCTGCCACAGGTAACAGTAGCCCAACCTGCCACAGGTAACAGTAGCCACCTGCCACAGGTAACAGTACCTGCCACAGGTAACAGTAGCCACCTGCCACAGGTAACAGTAGCCACCTGCCACAGGTAACAGTAGCCCAACCTGCCACAGGTAACAGTAGCCACCTGCCACAGGTAACAGTAGCCCACCTGCCACAGGTACCTGCCACAGTAGCTACCTGCCACAGGTAACAGTAGCCACCTGCCACAGGTAACAGTAGCCACCTGCCACAGGTAACAGTAGCCACCTGCCACAGGTAACAGTAGCCACCTGCCACAGGTAACAGTAGCCCAACCTGCCACAGGTAACAGTAGCTACCTGCCACAAGTAACATCAGAGCTACATAAATCACAACTTTTTATTCTAGAACTTTTAGACCTTTTAGAATCTAAAGTTTCTCTCCTATCAGACCTGAAATTTTTTTGAACAGTACTGTCTTAACAACAGAAATGGGGCGGGGGACATTTAGGTCTAAGTTCAACATCACGTTGGTTACACACGCTATCTTGGCTTCAATTTCTGTGTCACTATGAAGGTTAGATGTACGTGAAAAGGTATTCATACATAAGAGAGTCTAAACCCTTTTATTCTGTGTAGCGAGCAGGTAATTTATAATTTCTATTATGACGTTCTTTCTATCGATCTTGTGGGAGAAGTTTTCGAGTGTTTGAAGAGCAGTGAATCTCAGATAGTTACTTCTCGCTCCGTATTTTTTTTTTTTAACGAAAGGGTTGGAATATGTATTGCAGCTGACTGTGTTTGAATGGAGATCAGTCAGTTGTTTAACATAACTCTTATAACCTGTGTCCCAAACCACTTGGGCTGGAAAGGTAGATGCGACGGTCTATTCAGTAGTCTGAACTGACAGATTTTGAGTGCATCATGAGGATATCTTCAAGAACACGAGAGG